GATATCATCAGCCCTTCTGCAAAGTGGTGTCCACAGGCTTCCAGTTGTGATGGTGAGGCCAAAAAATTGTTCAGGTCCTTTGAAGGGTGACAGGGTTTAGGAATGATTCCTTGTCTTACCTGCCTTCCTCTTCCTGCAGATTACAGCCAAGGTTTCTCAGAAGTTTTATTTTTGGGAGGCTGGGTCTCTGAGAGCTGGCCTGTTTTAAGGCAGCACTTTCTGGAGAGATTTTCCAAAGCCCTTGGGTGGCACACCCAGAATCCTAACAATCCCAAACTGGCTTTTGAAAGTTCCTGCTCACAGTCAGCATCTCTACACCACCAGCACACTGTGACACAGAGCTCACGGACACAAAATAAAACCCAGCTTGCCTTTCAGTTTTATCCTGGAGACCAATTATTTTTCCCTGGTGCAAATGCCCGAGGATTGTTCTGCCCTGCACAAACTCCAGGCAAACAAACACGAGATGACAAAGTGCTGTCCCTGCAGGACGAGGCCTGCCCTTCCTGGTCTGGGGGATGGACACAGCAGGGTACAAGTTTCCCAGCCCCTTTTCCCTTGAGAACTCGGCTTGGACGGAGCTGCCACAGGGATCCTGTGGGGATCCCATTGTTCCCCGAGTTCCTGCGGCAGTGGCCACGCTGGGAGCCCTCGTGGGCTCTCAGGATCTTCTGCTGGCTCAGGAAACTCAGCCTGATGAAGCCCCAGCCTCTTCCCAAGACGATCACAGGACTGCAATTCCCCACACAAGGAAAAGAAAACAATCCCTCGAAGCAGGACCCTGGATTTCAGAGGACAGCAGACTTTAGGAAGGAATAAGTAGGATAGCAGTGTTCTCCCATCATTTAGCTTTTAGCACAAATCACCTCTGCTGAGCCCTGAGATGCTGTTTTGGGATTGTTCCCTCTTTCCCCCAGCCATCCAAAGTGCTGTGGTGATTCCTGCACTGGGGATATGCTCAAGGAAAGGAAGCTCTGAGTGCACCCATAAACACACTGCAGATTACAGAACACCTATTTACACCCCACACAGGAACACCCGATGGCATTTCTGCAGACACTTCTCATCCTTCCCCGAGGGAACACGGCGCCTCACAAGTGCAATCACCCAGGCAAGAGACACCAGACAGAAATACAGCCCAGCATTTACCATTTATTTCTAAATAATAGCTCTTGTACCTGTTGAAAGGATTTGCAATTCATCGGGTATTAGAGACCTCAGCAATACTTGTCAAGAGCATTCACATCACTGGTCAAAACAATTTGTCTGTTACCTCCTGTGTCTCAAAACTGGGGCAAGCACTCTGAAAGTCTCAGATCTAATTCTCTCTTTTTTTTTTCCCTTTTCAATTTTTTTTTTTTCCCCCAGCTCCCAGCGGAGTGGCTAGCAGAGAAAACACAGATTACTTCCTCTCACAGAGACCCATTTTCCAGTTTTCTCACAAAACCCAAGCGCTGAAACAAAGCAAACGCCGCGTCCTGTTTTAAGAGAGGAGGAAAACTTACCGTGGGCAGCACCTGGGATGGCACAGAGTCCAACAGGGAAAATAAGCAGAGAAACCCGTGTCTTCTCCCTTCGATGCTGCTCAGCCTTCTGACAGTGGCTGGAGCGTGCCAGAGACTGACAAGTTCCCTATAAACACTGCTCCAGCAAAAAAAAAAATACCAACCCAACAATCTTACTTTCACTCCCTCCCCCTGTCAAAACTCACTCGGAGTACTAAGAAATTCCCATCCAGGGAACAGTCAGCTGCAATCTGATGTTTATGGATGTAATAAAAGACTTTGAAAATGAAGATGTATGTTTTTATAACCCTAGGGTGCAGTAAAGATATATGACTAAGAGTGGCAGTTCGCCTCATCTTAAAGAGACAAAGATCCATTTCCCTGCCCTGTTCCTTTCCGAGGGAAGACCTCTGGTAACCCTGGTTTCTGAAGAAAATGAGACATTGCTCTGACATAATTTAGTCTTGTTTATCCCTTCCTTTGTAAAACAGGAGGGTTAAGTGTGCTTTTGCTCCCTTCATTACCCTCTGCCTTCTTTTTTATTTTATACCTCTGGGCAGGGCTGAAGCTCCAGGTGCACACAGACACCTTTTCCCTCAGTTTGCTTCCTTTGTTTTGCTGTGATTCCCTTTCTGAAAAGGAAATCGTGCTGCAAGCAGCACTGGCAGCAGCTCTGGGTGCTTTGCTGAGGGTCCTGTTGCAGCATCCCCCCAAAAAAACCCCTTTCTTCTCCCCTCACCTCCCACCAGCGCCGCGGACGTGCAACATCTACAAGTTCAGGTGTTCAGCAAGCCAGGGCTTTGCACAACACTCTGGGTGTTTTGCAGCTGACAAGTGACAAGCAGAACCCCCCAGAAGATGCTGCAATGGTTAATGCCGGGCAGGGACAGCAGCTCAGGCTTCCCCAGGCTCCCCAGGGCTCATTCCCAGCACAGCCACTCCTGCTCTTTGCCCTGTGGCCTCTGCCAAGCTCAGCAGGGAGCTTGGCCAGCACAGCGTGGAGAAAGGAGCTGTTCTGCCTCGTCTCCAGCACGTTCTGGGAGGAAAGCAGGTGCAGGGAGAATATGGCAGCAGCATCTTTTCCTGCGGCTCCCGCCGCGGCCGGGTGGGAGGCTGGCAGGGAGAGCAACCTTCCCTGCCAGACGGGCACCTGGTCACGCTGAGCAGCTCAGGTGAGCTGCCCTGGTACAGATGGTTTCTTACCCACTGGCAGGCACCCTCTGCCTCTTCCTGTACCCTCTCACCCTCTGGGATCACGGCCAGGGAGCCACATCCATCCTCCCACTCCCGTGGCTCCCTCTGCCACCCTGCCAGCCTTTGCCACCCTGCCAGGCTCCACAGGTTGTGGGCAGGGAGTCCGTGGGGTTGGGGAGGTGCCTTGGCTTCCCCCTGGCTTTTCTGCTTTGGCCAAGCAAGGCTGGGAGGGCATGGGCATCTCCCTTTCCTTGCCAGCACCAGGCTGGTGAATCCCTGCCCTGTTTCTCACAAATGCTTCTGCCTCCGGCTCAAGCTTCTGTCTGCATTTCACTTTGTGTGGTTTGCTTGGATCGCGGCAGTCAGAGTAATTTTAAAAACCCACAAAAGCCTCAGGAAGGGGTGAGTTTCAAGCCCAAGCCCACATGCATGAATCTGTCATATGGAGATTCATGTAATTCACAGCTCAGGTTAATTTGGGCTGTTGCATGCACATTCCCCCTCAGGTGAGCAATCCCAAAGGAGCTGGCCACATCCCAGGGCATGCATTCATGTGGGATGCACCGTAAGGAGGGAGGATTTTTCTCTCCCAGTCTCTGCCTCCTCAGTCTTGCCTGAGCTGAGAGCATGAACAAGACTCTGAAAGGAGGAGAGATGGCAGAATAAGAAGATTTTGACACAGTGACAAGCTTCTGTTGTTTTACCAATACCACACCACATTCAGTATAAAATCATCCCTGCAGATCTCTAGTGCAGCCACTGCTGGGCTTTTCTGCCCTAACTTTGGAGCAGTAGGAAAATCCCTGTGAATGTTTTCCTGTCCTGTCCAGACCACACTGGGTCAGGCTGGCTTTTGACCTCCACAACAGCTCCTTTCTCTGCACTGTCAGAAACGCAACATATTTCAATTTTACCCCTCAAGAGGATGCTGGTAATAGGGTTTGTTCATTTAATTGTCAGCCCTGTCAAATCTATAAGTGCGTGAACCCTTCTAATTAGAGCAACAGCACAGCCATCAATTTTGTGAGTTGTGAGGTAGTTTCACCAGGGGGACACAGACCAGAGCCCTTCTGCTGGTGGGAGGGAGAGGATGCTCACTCAATGGGCTTGGAAATTAATATACCACAGACAAAAAAAGAGTTTTCCACAGAGGTTTTGATGCTCTGCATGGACAGCCAAGAATCTTCTGGTCCAGGGCCATAGGAGGAGGGACAGGATGTGGTCCAGCAGCTTCACAGGCTCAGAGCCAGCCAGCTCAGGCCTCCCCTAACCCTGACCCTAACCCTGAACCTAACCCTAACCCTAATCCTAACACTTGCAGACAGCTGACCTCTGACATATTGATGGCTGCAGCATCCAAACTCTCTGGAATAATGATTTTTATTTATTTCCAACCCTCTCCCCTGACTATGGCCAGGAAATGAAGAACTGTTTCTTAGCAGGACTCCAGTGGATATCTCCTCTGGTGGATAGAAGCCACTGCTTATGTTTTTTCCTCCCTAAGGATTATATTTCCCAGTCCCACCTTTTACAGCCTCTGTTCCTTGTGTCATTCTCCTGCAGCTGCCTGGGAGGCTGCTGAAAGAGGGGCATTACATCCCATCACTGGAAAATTGGGGTGACCCCATTTTGCACGTATTTGGATGAGCTGCTTTGGGAAGCAGAATGATGCAGGCAGAGTTGTGTGAGAAGTGAAGAATAGAACAGAGCTGTTTTGTGTTTTTTTTTTTTTTTCTTTTAATGAAAAGGAACAATTTCCCACTCTGTTTATTCTTCCTACTGTCAGCAAAATGTCAGGATTGTTTAAGATTAATGACAAGCCATGTGAAAGAGAAAAAGATACCAAGGAACATTAGTTCCATCACGCTCAGCTCAACTTTCTTCCTCTTTCCATTGCAGACTCTGTCTTATGTTTTGACAATCCATGGCCAGAATTTTTCTTGCCCTTTTCAGCTCAGATCTTTGGAAATCCTTGTTTTATGAAATGCAGGGAGTGAAGAGAGATCTTGCTGACACAGGGAGCTGTGCTCTGCACAAAGCAGAGCCACGTGCTGTCAGCTGGGGATGAAAAATGAGGGCCTTGGGAGAGTGAGAAAAGTCATCCATGGTCCTATAAAAATATACTGTTAGCTTCATGTTAGGGGAATAAAAAAATACATTCAGAAAGGAGTATATTTTCTAGAAAGCCCCTCAGTCTGCTTCCCAGCTGGGATAACTCAGTGGCATCCATGCTGGCCCCATTTCTCTGTCATGGGGACTGGTTACTCACAGCAGCTGGGACACAGAGCCACGTGCTCCACCCCACCTTTTTGTGGTGTGATAATGCAAACAGTGCTCCCAGACCAGGAGAGTGATGCTGCTGCAGCAGGGTTTGTCACAATAAGGAAATAGTTGTGCAGACAGCTTCTTCCCCTTAGCAGTCACATGTGTCCCTTGGCTGTGACTACCTCCTTCTGGCAATCACTGACATGGGATTTGTTTATGGCTTGCTACAAATCTCACTGTGGGTGGGTTCCTCCCTGTTCCCTATGCTCTCTTTGCTCTCTGTTCACCTTTGCTCCCTGCATGCACAATCTCCCTGCTGTTGCCTCTCTGTCTCCCCCACATCCTCCATTCCAGATGCTTCTGCCAAGGCAGATGCCTCAGAGAACAGCCTCAGTTCCCTGTACCTCCCCTTCTAGAACTCACAGTGCTGTCAGACACTGTTTCCATCCATCATTCAGGACCCTAAGCCAGAAGATGAGGTGGGACCACCAAAACATCCTCTCCTATCCCAACAATCTCACCTGCTCCTGCACACCACTTTTTCCAGCCCCAGGCTTTCTGTCTCACACTGTTCTGCATGTGCACTCTGTATTTCCAGGATAATCATAACCTCTTGCCCTTTGTCTCTCCTATCTTTCCATGTAACTGCTCCAAGGAGTGTCCCCAGCTGATGAATCCTCTCCTGCTGTGGCTCCAGGGTGTTCGGGCTGCCCTGATATGAGTGGCAGGAGACTCTGCAGCTGCACAGATGAGAGAAACCATGAGCCAGATGCTCACAGGAATTGCCCCAAGCCAATGTTCTGCTCCAGTGTCTGAGAGCATGATCCTGACAGCAAAGAGAAGTGGGAGGAGTGGCACTCCAGCCCTGCCTGTGGCTGGGGAATGTGCTCCAGATGTTTTCTTTCACCCAGGCCCTCTTTCATCTTGTCAGGTGAATTGAAATATTTATCACATTTAGAGCTACCATGACCACAACAGAAATTATGTTCTCTCCTCAGCCATTTGGAAATAACATGGAGCTCAAATGTTGTGCTCAGCTTTCCAGCAGAGGAATGGGCAGGTTTAACAAAACTCTGCAGGACAGGCTTTCATTTGTCTTGCCTGAAGAAACCTCACGGTTTCTTGGCTTTCCCCAAGGCATCAGGACCCAAGGCTTTCCCCAGGGCATCAGGAGTGCTGAGTCAGACCAGAGCCAGGCACAGGGATCAGCCATTCACCTGATCCTCAAATTCATGGAAATTCAGGCACATTTTTTAAGATTTCCTGCAGAACACTGTAATCAAACACTTCTTATTCTGCTGCAGCTACAGCCATGACACTGACATCTTCGGAGTTTTGCATCATGGGCACATGATTTCCACATGCAAATGTTTGCAAATTCAGCTTTACTTAATTCAGCTTTAGAAGATTCAGTTCAAAAAGGTCATTTTACCTGAGAGCTGCTCAGTCATAACTGGTATCACTTTGTATGGAGACCTGGAAGAGCCACGGAGGGTTGATGTTAGCCACACTCAAAATGCAGTTTGCATTTCACATCTGTACTCCCTGAGAGGTACAAAGAAGTATCTGAAGATATTCTAAGATCTCTTAAAACCTGTGAGTTTGAGTAAGCAATGGGCACTTTTTCTGAACATAGAGAATTTAGAAACAGAATTATTAGATTCCCTGATTTAGAAACGGAATTATAGAATGGTTTGGGTTGGATGGGACTTTAAAAATCCTCCAGCTCCAGCCCCTTGCCATGGGCAGGAACACCTTCCACCATCCCAGGCTGCTCAGAGCCCTGTCCAGCCTGGCCTTGAACACTTCCAGGGATGGGGCAGCCACAACCTCTTTTTGCTCTGTGTTTGTGCACTGTCCTGTGCAGGAGGTGCTGGGGCAGCACCACACAGTATCAATAAGAGCAATGGCAGTGAAATGTCATAAGGAAATATGGGCCAAAGAAAGCAATGAAGACACCTAAACTCATCACAGGCTTTGAGTTTGCTTTTCAGGTAATCTGCTGGTTGTGCCCTAGCAGAGCAATCAGGAGTGGGGGAACAACAGAGCTTTGACAGCAAACAGGGAGGGACGGGAACAGATGTTCTACATTAAACACCTAAAAGCACTATTTTTTTCTTTTTTCCTCTGACAATTAATCAGAGGATGGTTTATCCAGTGGGGATGGTTTGTCCAGGGGGGATGGTTTGTCCAAGGGGGATGGCTTGTCCAAGGGGGATGGTTTATCCAGGGGGGATGGTTTGTCCAGAGGCTGCTGGTGTTGATGGGATGGCTGTAACAAGTAAAAATCTTCCAACCAGCACTCGTTACAGGCCAGCACACATTTCTCCCTGCACATAAAAGGCTTCAGCAGGCAGCCACCTCCCTTGCCCTCAGGGCTGAGCCTGTTCTGGGGGAGCAGGGGGCAGCAGGGCTCACCTCTCCGTGTTTGCAGGCATCGTGGGATCAATGGACACCATGCAGTTGTCTGCTGTCAAAAGGGAGATGGTTGTGTTCCTGAAAAGCAAGTTCCAAAGAGGGTTATTTGACCTAGAAATGCCAGCTGGAATTCTGTGCTGTGCATGTGATGCAGAGCCACCTTCCCTCCTGCAGATGCATTTTTTCTCCTTGCTCCTGGCCTGGCACCTCTGGTACCTCAGAGCAGAAAAAGTCAAAGCCCAGGGCAGGGTAGGCTTGATGCTTGACCCATGTAAAATGTGATAATTTTTGATCCCAGAGCAGACCTTGCTCCCTGCTAATTCATTTATTCTCTTGACTCATTGAATAATAATTTGTGTTAAAAAGCTGTATTTTGTGATACATTGACTCAGCAGCTATGTATTGACTCATACCATACAAATGACTTCTGGTGCTATGAATGTCTTGAAATTATTTAGTTACTCATTTACCAAAACAAACAAAGCAAATATCTTTCTGAATATGGGGTCTTTTTCTTTTTTAATTACTGTGCTAAAGGTGATCTCATAGACTCAGACGTAAACCTTGGAGGTTTACTTTGGCTCCAGGAACTTGGTTGAAATGCAATTTTCCTTTGAAAATCTTCTGATGAAAACAAAATGCCAAATATGCAGTGAACAGCCTGACTGTGAATGATTAAAACTGCTGAACAAAGTTTCCTGGGTGATGGAGTGGAAATCTTTGACATCATAGGAAAATGAGAGTTATTAACCTCTCTAATGTCAAATGGGAGGAAATAGAGCAAACAGCAAAGGGCATTAATTCTGTCCAGCAGCTTATGCAAATTCAATTTTATCTTTCAATCCCCAGAGCTGAAGTCATGCAATAAAACCATGATTAAAAGACTGGCTTATTTTTCTCCTGCACTTTTCCTGTATTGTAAAGTTGAGTGCCCAGAGATAAAGACTTTGCCTTGTTGCATCCAGCCTGTGCTGCTCGAGGGCCTTATGCAGACAGCAGATTCCCCCTTCTAGAGGTGATGTAGGGTTCTAGAGATGATTCAGGGGCTTCCCTCCCCCTGCTCTGATGCTGTTGAGCCAGGGACGGGCAAAATGACTTGTACGATTTCAGAAGGCAAATGAATATTTATTCAAAAGCACCTCTCTCTTTTATAGAGAACATTGTGAACATTAATTCCATTGGTCTTAAAGTAAAAACATTTCACCTGATTGGTGCACTGGACTTAAGTCAGTGTGGTAGAACTTATCTATAAACAATATGAATGGAAAGCAAGATAATAGATTGTTTACATTCCTCCTGGACTTTTTCCCAGAATTAGCTTGGCAGAAATCTTCCTTTTTTTCTCTCTGACTGAACTGAGAATATCCAGACCTGCTCCATTGCCTGGAAGTGTTTCAGAGGTGGATGGATGGATGGATGGATGACAGATGGATGGATGGATGGATGGATGGATGGATGGATGGATGGATGGATGGATGATGGATGGATGGATGATGGATGATGGATGGATGATAGATGGATGAATGGATGGATGGATGGATGGATGACAGATGGATGGATGACAGATGGATGGATGATGGATGATGAATGGATGGATGATGGATGGATGATGGATGGATGGATGGATGGATGACGGATGGATGGATGGATGGATGGATGGATGGATGGATGGATGGATGGATGATGGATGGATGGATGATGGATGATGGGTGATGGATGGATGATGGATGGATGAATGGATGGATGGATGGATGACAGATGGATGGATGACAAATGGATGGATGATGGATAATGGACAATGGATGGATGACGGATGGATGATGGATGGATGATGGATGGATGGGTGATGGATGATGGATGGATGGATGATGGATGGATGGATGGATGGATGGATGGATGGATGGATGGATGATAGATGGATAGATGGATGGATGGATAGATGGATGGATGGATAGACAGATGGATGGGTGATGGATGATGGATGGATGGATGGATGATGGATGGATGGATGGATGGATGGATGGATGGATGGATGGATGGATGATAGATGGATAGATGGATGGATGGATTGATAGATGGATGGATGGATAGATGGATGGATGGATGGATGGATGGATGGATGGATGGATGGATGATGGATGGATAGATGGATGGATGGATAGATGGATGGATGGATAGATGGATGGATGGATGGATGGATGGATGGATGGATGATGGATGGATGGATGGAGGGATGGATGGATGACAGATGGATGGATGATAGATGATGGATGGATGGATGGATGGATGGATGGATGGAGGGATGGATGGATGACGGATGGATGGATGGATGATGGATGGATGGATAGATGGATGGATGGATGGATGGATGTTCTCCCACACACCCTTCTGTGACCCTGGACCCCTCTCAAATCTGAGGTTTCAGCTGGATACTGCTTGAGGTTGAAGGGAACAAATCCTATTTGGATTTTCCCCATATGGAAAATTACAGCAGGAGGGATTACAGGGACTTTGTGAGACAACATAAATTAAGAAATACATGGCCTGGGCAATGGATTTGGAGATATTTATGCTGTATAAAATGGTTCAGCTGGGTTGCTTTGTGTTTGAATTTGCCATACCTGAGATTAGATTTTATAACACCTAAAGAGAAAGCTTATTACCTGGTGGCAATACTTCTTGTTGCACTCATATTTTACCTTAAAAACCAGGTTCTAAACATGTGCCTGCATTTCACTCAATATGGGCAAAAATGTAGTACTGAGATATAAATGGTAGGTGTGCCCAACCTATGTATACTCAGGGCTGGGCTTCTTCACTTGCTTCTATTTTAGATTATTTCTCCTCTGTTCTACTCTATTCCACCCTGTTCCTCATGTGCAGCCAACACCAAAGTGGCTCAATTCCCTGCTTCCACATTTTCCAGCTCTTGATTGCCCCAGTTTCTTCTTCCAGCATAATGCTGGAAGAAGACTGGAACGAGAGACAAGCCTGAATAGCAGCTAAATAAATCATTTGGGGCCTGTCTTTAAACTGTTCCCAAAGGAAAGAAACAAAAGCGAAATGAATGTCACAAATGGCAGACCTACCTCGGCAACCCTGTTGCAATGCAGAAAAGGTCCATAATATCTTTGGAATTGCAGTATTTACTGAAGATCACCTTCCAAAGGAAACAGCAGCAGAGGGAAGAAAAATGAAGAACAAGAGAAAAGATGGTTAGTTCCCACAGAGATATGAATCCTGTTCAGGCATGCACTGGGCTAATTTTAAGGCACAGTCTGTGATTTCAATTATCTGATTTGATTTGTGAGCTGGAATATTTCTCTACTCCTTTGTAATACCTGTGTCTTTGTTGATAAAGCTCTGGAGACCTAAGTGCTGTTCAGAAGTGGAGCAATAACATGTGTGAACTGAGAGCAGGGGGTTCCTCAAAATGCAGTGTTGCTGTGGGATGATAACAACTGTAAATTAAAAGAGTGTAAGAGCCTGGATTTAGGAAGAAAACTGTGCAGAGTTGAGCAGGTCATGGGATGGTATAAAAGGGCACTGCTTTTTGGACTACACCAGCTTACACTAGGTTGAAAGTGAGCAGAGCTTGTGCCAAAATTCCTACTGTCAGATATTCCTGTTGTTAGGTCAGAAGCCAGACCTGGAATTGCAAAATTTGCCACTGTTACTTTCCCATGCCCCCAAACACCTCTTCACCCCCTCACCTTTCCACACACACCAGGCAGCCCCAGTGCAGAGAAAACTGAGCAGCACATGCCCCAATCCCATTTTTCTATTCCTGCTGTTCCTGTGCCTTCAGTGGCACAATCCCATGCCACAGTTTTCCTCAAGACTCCTTTGTCCATCAGGACTTGCAGGTCATGGTCGTCCCAGCTTCTTCTGCAGTCAGAAACCACTTTAATAACACCATTACAGCACTTCTCATCAGTCTCATTACATCCCTGTGCAATACTTTAACTCTGAAATCTGAAGCTTGTTTATGTTAAATTACCTGCCCTGTATTTTATCATGGGTGAGTGGCAGGCCAGAAACAGAACCCAGGAGTCCTAATTTGATGTCTTGCTGGATTCAGAGACAGCACACTGCCTCTGAAAGAAAAACACTCAAGAATTCAACAGCATCACTCTGCATGAGGAGTGTCCCATTTCAATAAATGTGTATTTATAGGATCTCTGTCCTTGTGACTGAGGTCCCTGAGGTTGCTTCCAATCCAAACCCACATCTCTGTTGGGTGCATGTTGCACTATTGAATTTTCCAGTGTTCTAAATCAAAATCTTGTTCCTAGTGGGCTTATTGGGGAAAACGGCCACCATTGAAAAGGATCTCTGCTGCCAGTGAAAAAAAGCAAGTGTGGGTGGAACAAAAAGCAAGTGTAGACATGAGAATGAAGGATGAGGTTTGAATTCTTCTGCCAGTGTTGTGCCCCTTTCGTCAGAGCAACTCTGAGCTCCTGAGTGACTGTGGTGGAGGCTTTGAACCTGCCAGAGAAATTAAGTGCCTCATTGCAGCCAGACTCTCCTTAAAGCCAGGAACAGCAGCAAGCAGAGGGGGCGGTTAATCCAGGGGGGATGGTTTATCCAGGGGGGATGGTTTGTCCAGAGGGGATGGTTTATCCAGGGGGGATGGTTTATCCAGGGGGGATGGTTTGTCCAGAGGCTGCTGGTGTTGATGGGATGGCTGCAGGGGCTGGCAGGGGGCAGGCAGTTGTGTGGAGAGGGGCAACTTCCCTGCCCAGCAATGAAGCCCTCTCCTCTCACATCCCACAGGAAAGAGCCACAGAGCCTCTGGGCTCAGGTTGCAGCAGCTCAAAGACACTTGTGGGGATTGACCTAATGGCAAAACTCAGGAGGAACAAGAAACTTGCATTTTGCAGATGGACAGGGACATCAAGGTCAAAGTTCTGCTCTCCTTGCAAGTGTTGGAAATGTGATTTTCCACCCCTCACAACCACCCCACGTTCTCAGGCACAGTTTGTTGACACCCATCACAGGCATGAGGGGCCGCAGATCAACCTGGAGGCTGGTGACCCAGGAGAGAAGGAATGTGTCTCCTGGGATGGCAGCTGGGAGGAGACAGGGGTGCTGCAGCCACCCTCCCCAGACTGAGCAGGCCTTGTGTGCTCAGTGAGGTGAGGACCATGCTGGAAAAACAACAAATCATCTAATTAAGGACTCCTCTGAAAGGTGTAGGTGCCAGGAGGTAATTAAGCCTGCAGCTTCACTTGGTCAGCCTCGACTTTCAAGTGCTTTAATTCCTAAATTGTTACAGCACTGGTGTGACATGGCTCCCCTTCACCTCCAAGGTGCCTTTCAGACTGCAGGGGATGTCCCTCACCTGGAGGTGTCACAGGGCACCACCAGAGCTCTGTCACTGGAAATGGGGAAGCCATGGGAGATGCCAGGCTGTGCTCTGCTGCTGGTGCCTGCTCAGAGCCCAGGGCATGCCAGCCTGAAGTACCAGGACAGTCTGGACAGCACAGCAAGGCCTGGTTTGCCCTCATTCAGCAAAGCTCCAGCTTTCAGTTTTCACTGGTGGTGAGGAGCGTTCTTACTCCTGAGCAAAGCACCAGGGGTTCTGTGGCAGAGGATGAAGGTGGCACTTCTTGAGGTGGGTGTGACTACACTTCTCGAGGTGGTGTGAGCTACACTCACACCCACCTTCCCTGTGTTCTGCCCCAGATGAAATTACTCCAGGCAGGATCTTCACAAAACCTGGAAGCACTTGATTGCTGAAGCAGGGTTTAACTGCTGCTGGGAAAATGGGTGTGTTTTGAAAGTCAAGATTGACCCTTGGTTGTTCAAGCACAGAAGCAATCAAAGCAATAAAACATAGCCAATGGAGCTCAGATAGGGCTGAAATCCTGCTCCTAGCAGAACCCAGCATCCTGACAGAGTGATAGCTGCTAAAATTGGCTGGAAGAATATTGGAGTACAACTGGTACATGCAGTAACTGGGCAGATGATGTTAATTGTGGCTGAACAGAGGCCGAAGGCTTGTCATGTGCCAGGAGTTCTATTTCAGGTATTGAGGTTTCTTATTCTGGAAATCAATTATTATTGACCAGGACAGACAAGAGAGGACAAGACAAAAAAAAAATTATTAGGGAACATTAAAGGTAAGAAAGTTGGCCTGACTCATAGAAAGCAGTAGGAGCTTTCAACACACTGAGGATGGATTTTATTGTTTCCTTTTACTCCATGCAGTAGTGAAAGAGTGGGAAGAGAAACAAAGGCTGTGATACTAGCTCATGAGCTAATCTCCATACATGTTTTTCAGTTTCCCCATACTTGGCATTTTTACTTAGGTTTGCTAAAACTGGATTTGTGAATCACCCACTGCAGTTTCGTACTCATCTCAGGATGCTTGTCCTCAGCTGGTTGTTTTTTTGTTTTTTTTTTTAATCAAAAAGCACATGCTATTAAAATTTCCTTCTTTTTCAGCCTGCTGAGCTTTTCTGAGCATCTCCCTTCTGCTGTAAAGCACAGCAGCCAGCCTCAGATGTTCTGTAGCAACGTGCAGTTGTTCCTGGCATTGCCCACGGGTTCGTGCTCCCAGCAAAGTCGATGCCAGTGGTGCTGATGGAACACAACTGGAATGTGGTTTAGAGGGTGGGAGGACAGCACGGGGCACTATTGATGGCTCCAGCACAGAATAGGAATCCTATGTGCCTGGAGTGCATCATCCCTGGGGGACATCAGCAGCAGGAAGGCAATGTGGGGACACTTGGCTGGTGGCCATAGTGTGGTGGCACCCATGTGGGGCACGTGGGCTGTCCTGTGACCTGCAGAGGTTGACCTGCAGCTTTGAGGACAGGCAGCCCTGGCACTGGCTGCAGGACACAACATCTCATACACAGCCTGTGGACATGTCCCTGCTTGGGTAGCTGTCCCAAAACCCTTGCTGCTCAGCCTGAGCCTCCATGACCACACATTTCTGGCACTGTCTGGGGGTGTGATCCACACATTTTGTCTCCCTTCAGACCTGTCTCAGCTGTCTCTGACCCACATCTTTCTTAGGTCCCTGTGGGTGACTAGCCACTGCTGAGATGTGTCTCACAGCATCCCATTCCCTGCATTAATGCCTGGTGCTGGAAGATATTTTTGCTTAGGAGAAGATTGAGATTTTGCTTAACAGAGGCCAAAGTTGGGACACCAGAGTAGTTCCTCCAGCTCTGGTAGTGGGCCAAGATCACACATGTATAGGGTTTCCTGTAGTGAAATTCCAGGTTTCCTCATAACACATATTTAAAAAGTGCATAGTCATGCAAGTCAGCCCAAAAAATGTAGGGATGAACCTCCAGGGATGAAGAAAAAGAGGAGACAGAGACTCTGATACTGCCTGGTGGCACAAAAGTCTCCTGCAAGGCCAGTCAACACACAAGACACTCAGCTTCTGAAAGCAAAGGCAGAACTGAAATCACGTCTGAGCAGTCACAGCAGTGACAAACCACTTGGGGAAGGGAAACACAGGCCTCTGCTTCAGCTTGATGACTAATTGTCAAGGAAAAAAATCAGCCACATATAAACCCTGTTAACTGCATTTCCCTTGGATTTGTGCCAGGAGGAAAAGGATGTATTCCTGAAAAGTCATCCAGCATCTGCAAACAGTTTTTTGTTGGTTTGTTTTTTTTTTTCCCCCTGAGAGTTAACATGATTTTGTATTTCTGTCCTTGCTGTTGTTATCACAACCTCTGAGATGGTGGATATCCCATCCCTGGGAACATTCAAGGCCAGGTTGGATGGGTCTCTGAGGAACCTGATCAATTTGAAAATGTCCCTGCTTACTGCAGAGGGTTGAACTAGACCCTTAAGGGTCACTTCCAACCCAATTCTATGATTCTACAACATGTAGAAAAAAAAAAAAAAAAAAGACAGGAAAAGCAGCCTTCTCTGAATGTTTAACTTGTTTGTGCCAAGGAGTTTCCATCAAGACAAAGGAGCAGCCATTCCATTTAAGTGGGCAACGTCCTGTGTGCCTTGGAAAGCAATGTGATGCAACTGGGGGAAAAGCAGAATGAATAATAACTGAGGCTTTTTGGAGTGGAAAGAACATTTTGATGAGGCATGCAGGGACTGCAAAGTAGGACAGCAGTGGTTTGATGGGCATGCCTGGCTCCTGGCCTGGCCCTCAATTCTGTGGGACTGGTTTCT